CGTTTCTGTTTTGAGAATCCACTGTTTTCTTGTTTTGGGAATTAATTACTTATAAAGTTTGCTCTGAATTTTTTATACCCGAGCACACTTGTGCAAGTAAAACACGTGACACTCGATTTTAATTCATTATTTATTTCCCTACTATGTAGGGCAGCCGTTCACTATGAGTGCGGACATCAAAGTCAAAATACAAGGGCAGAACTTATTATTTAAATATTAAATCTAACTAATAGCTGTCTGTTGATTCTTGTTGTTGCCCGTTGCCAAACTGAAGCCGTAATGGGGTGTCAGCGCTTTTGGTGGGAAATGGTTCGTGTTGGTCGTTATGCTACTGTTTGCGCTGCACCGAACTGACAAAGCGGATGCGCGTGTTGACCAGCGAGGTGTCAGCACTTTATGGAAGGGTATCAACCTCTCGCTGGTGTTAACTCTCCCCCTTCTAAAATCGGCCGCCCTCGGGTGCGCCATCGTTCTGTCCTGGGGCCTTGGTAATATTATTCTCTATCAAATTTATAACAATGCGTTTCTGCCGATTCTTCCTCCAGCGAAATATAGTCAGCGCTATGACCGACGAGATAATCAATCCACTAAGGGAACTAAACATTATGATTGACTTTATATTAATTTTGTACCTTAGTGTTGCGATATGTCTAAAATTCCGTATGTTGACTTCGTCTAGATATGGTAACGACAGCGTTACAATGTGCTCGGTAAACTTAATATCTTGTGCCATGGGATGCGACACCATCGTCTACCATTCCTATGGGCGATATGTTGTGGGCGGATGTAGTCCTACACGTTGCTGTGTAGTCGTTTAGTAGCTGTTGTAAACATGAGTTTGTCGTGCTTTGAATTTCCTCGCAGAACGTCGATGCGACCGCTTTTTTGCATTTATCAACTAGCCTGTATTGCTTATTACATTTTGCTACTGCATTAGTTTCTAATATTATAATCCTATTGTCGTGCACTACTGGGCAGATTCTTGTTTTATTGCCTATATTGTTAGTTTTTGGATATTTTATTACAAAAACGACAATCTCGTTGTTTTGCAGTATCTTAAGCTTAGAATTCATAATGATATCATTAATGCTAATGGCAAAGCCCTTTTCGGTCTTGATAATAGTCTCGACTTCTTGGCTATCCAACAGGACAGGGTTTATAATATTAAGTCTCCCTAGCGTGATGGAAAGAGCTATGTTATTTAGTTCGGCAATCGCGGCCCTATTTCTGCTACTGATAAGGTTAAATAAATTAGCCGTATTTATTTCTGCTTGTTTAGTGTGTGCTAACAGTTGGTTTATGGTTCTCGCTAGTTTATTGATCTGGATTTGCAACTCTTTATTTTAATCTGCTCGTCATTTGCTTCTATAAGGCTTTCTTCTTTTTTGCTGACCTCGTGAAAATCATCGAAATCTGGGGTTCCTGCAAAATACTTAAGGGCGGTGCCAATAAAGTTCAGACTACGAGAATGTCGGTGGTGAATTCTTAGTACTCCTAAAAGATTTGTAATTTGGTCCGGGTCGAGTTGTAGCAGTTTCTTTATGTGCGTGTGTGACGAAATTCTCCTTTCCTGGTTTATAAAAAAATCGGGGGGAGAATTCCTCTACAAAGGCCTTCCACCTTTTCATTTTTTGCGTTTGAGCTCTTATCTGATATGACAAAAATTAATGGTTGATGGTCAGAGAAAATATTAAAGGACCCTATTCCTTATGATCCCGGTAGTGACGGGAACTACCATCATAAGGCTCAAACAATTTGTAGGCAGCAAATGCCGCTTGTCTCCAGGATACGTATCTTGCCTGGTCCCCATTGAACTCTGGAAGGGATTTCACTACATCCAGCGTTTCCTCGCACCTTGCGGCGGCTGGGTTTACCACTATCTCCCTATATTCAACTGCAGGAGGCAGCTCTAACACCCTAAGTCTCTGTTTGTTCCGTGGCGGCACGGATTGCCACGTTTAATAAAGCCTGAACTGTCTGTGTGTCCATTTTACAAAGTCGAAACTATTTCAATATACGTTAACTAAAAAAATTATAATTTCTGGAAAATTATTAAATTTTTACAATTTTCTTTAAGCTATGTTAGTCTAGACTTACAAACAAAATACCAGCATGTCCTGGATTGCTACTGACGGCTGGACGATGATCTGGATGGTTGGAGGCGATCTGGAGTTTCCTGGATGTTCCCTCGTTGGCGACACCTCGGCTTGGCGTGCTATTCCAATATTAAATTTATTAAGTTTTTTTTTTTTTTAATTATCTGCTAATAACAATTGTCCACTTTGTTCCTTATCGGTTTTTTAATTATTTGCTTATATTAGCAATTGTCCACTTTGTTCCTTTCCGGTTTTTTTAAATTATTTGCTTATATTAGCAATTGTCCACTTTGTTCCTTTTCGGCTTTTTTTTAATTATTTAGGAAACGTATTATTGAAAACACGGGTGGGTCCGAACCCACGGCCATGGTTACGGTTTATCCTTTTTTGAGGATATTTTGCGCGTGGCCCCACGTTGGGCGCCAGTAAAACACGAGACACTCGATTTTAATTCATTATTTATTTCCCTACTACGTAGGGCAGCCGTTCACTAGAAGTGCGGACATCAAAGTGAAAATACAAGGGCAGAACTTATTATTTAAATATTAAGTCTAACTAATAGTTGTCCGTTGATTGTTGTTGTTGCTCGTTGCCAAACTGAAGCCGTAATGGGGTGTCAGCGCTTTTGGTGAGAAATGTTTCGTGTTGGTCGTTATGCTACTGTTAGGTCCCTGATGTAATCACTACAACATTCACCGACTGGTTTCGCACAAATGCCATAATTTAGTACTTAGCTAGTGCCAATTTTTGCCGCTAAAAAAAATTTAGTGCTCTGTAAATTTTGGTAAAAACATGTGGTAGCCATCTCTTCAGCTGAAGTAAGCACTACACTATCAATATCTCTGGAACCAAAAAGCGCATATACT